GTATTTGGTATTTTTTCGGAAATTCTCATTGAGTCCAAAAGACTCATATAGATGTTGAAATGCTTGTAGGTACTTTCAATCTCGAGCACGAGTCGTAAAGTTGGAGTCGAGTTCGAGGATCGAGGGATGTGTTTATATGGAAGGCGTGTGGATCATGTGTGCTCTTAATCTAGCTATGTGGTTTCACTTATATTGTTTAATTTTTTAGACTTTCGATATCGTCTTAGGTATCTATTATCGTACTCTTCCACTCCTCGGGTGCTCTTATTAGTAAGAACATTGCATTTAATAATAATTAGGATTATGATTTCCTCTTTTGCCAAACTTCTATATAATGTTTATCGAGTAGTTTTATGTTGTGTTCTGCCGTGTTGTTTGATAATGCGTATTAAATATACTCTCTGTTTAGAATTGCATGTAATTTTACGGTGTCATAGTTCTTTATGTTACGGTCATTTTGGTAGGTCTTTTGCATCATTTGGATAATCCATAAATTTATTATGAATTATTTTCCATAACTTTATACATGCAGAGTCATTTTAGGACATTCATCAATATATGAAGTTTTTCTTACTCAAATAAATCTATTTAAATTGGATTATGTTCCTTACTCAATTTTCTGTTTTGGTATAAAATTTGGTAGTGTTTGGAACAGTAGGGAATTATATTGAATTTTCAAAGATCCCTCCCCTGTTCTGGATTTTCAAACTGTACAGTTGCATGTCTTTAATTATTTCTCCCCAATGGCTTATGATATTTTAAAACTGTTTTAACAAAGTAATTTAGACCCATATGAGAGTATGTGGTTAAAATGTCAAGGTCTTTTGATGAAGGGTTTAAGATAAATTAATTTTCAAAGTTGATCTACCTAATCTGTCCGAAATTCCTAATCTTTACTCTTGATAATTTAATTAATATAGTCATGCATGTTCTTTTTGTGATATTTTGATAAGTGTATATAATATGGTATTATGTGGACACTCTTCCTTTGATTTAAAAAAAAAAAATTATGTGTAACTTTCTATTTGTAGAAGGTGATTTTTAAAACGAGCATTCCACATTTATTAATTTCTAAAAGTCTTCCGCTGGGATATTCTAAATTACTTATTAAGTGTAATTAGAAAAGGAATGTCACAGCCTTTGTCCATTAAATTGATTCCAGACTCATAGTAATTGCTGGAGAAAGACACTAAAGCCAATAACTTAAAAAATGCACTGTACATCTTGCAAAGTGTAATTTAATATATATATATATATATATATATATATATATATATATATATATATATATAGTAAGTTTTATTTAATAATTCATAGTATCAAATTTATAAACCCATTCAATTAATGTTGAGGTTGATGTTCAACCTAAGTTTACTAGTCTAATATTATTTCTTACATTTGATTTGGCATATTTTAGATTTTAAGCGGTTGATCTGCCGCGAAGCTAAATCTGTTGACGCATATACGAAGGTGTTGCCATTCAAGCTGATCGGTGGGGCCAGTGACAAACCAGTTATTCAAGTAAGGTTCAAAGACGAGGATATACATTTTTTCCCCGAGCAGATCTCATCGACTGTTCTCATGAAGCTGAAGAATATCGCTGAGTAGTATATTAGGGCAGATGTAAAGAAAGCCGTAATTACGGTGCCGGTTTGTTTCAATGATTATCAGCGGCAAGCCACATTAGACGCCGGAATCATTGCGGGGATTGAGGTTATACGGATCATCAATGAACCGAGTGCCGCTGCCATTGCGTATGGACTGTACAAGAAATATAGGTGTGCCGATGTGAAGAATATACTCGTTTTTAATGTTGGGGCCGGTAACACCGATGCAACTCTCGTCGAAATTTTCAATGATGTCTTCGAAGTGAAGGCTACTTGTGGGCTAACTAATCTTGGAGGGCAGGATTTCAATAACAAAATGGTAGAATACCGTGTTAAGGAGATGCAGAAAAGCTGTAACAGAAATATTAGGGAGGACCCAAATGCTCTTATGCGCTTGAGAACCGCGTGTGAGGAGGCGAAGAGGAAACTTTCTTCGGAGGCCGAGACCACCATTGAAATTTACGAGTCTGTAGATGATAGCCATTCCAGTTTCTATACCACCATTACTCGGGCCGGATTCGAAAAGCTTAATAAGGATTTGTTTAGTAAGTGTGTGGAGTTGGTTGAGCAGTGTTTGAGTGATGCGAAAATCGAAAAGGGCAGCGTGGATGATATTATACTTGTTGGCGGCTCAACTAGGGTACCGAAGATTCGGCAGTTATTGCAGGACATGTTCAATGGCAAAGAACTCTGCGATAGCATCAACATCGACGAAGCAGCCGTTACCGGTGCTGCTGTTCAAGCTGCAATTTTGAGCGGCCAAGGTGAGACGGTGCAGGATCTTCAACTTTTGGATGTAACTCCCTTTTCACTTGGTCTCGAGACTGAGACTGCTGGAGTTGAGACGACTGTGCTGATTCCGAGGTATACTAAGATACCCACACACGAGGAGAAAGTTTTCACGATGCATTCGGACAATCAACCTGGGGTTTCAATCCGTGTTTATGAAGCTGAGATTAAAATACGCTAGGGATATTCGACCTTTCGCGTATTCCACCCGCGGAAAGGGTTGTTCCTCAAATCGCGTCGATTGAGGATAATAACAAATTTACAATCACGAAGGATAAGGGTACACTCTCAAAGAAGGAAATTGAGAAGATGGTGCAAGATGGTCAGAAATTGAAGGTGGTAGTGACTGCACTAAAGGAAGAATTAGCTGCCGAGATGGCTCGCTACAAGCAGCAGGAGAAGGAGACCTTGAAACGAAAGGTTGCTGAGTATTGGCTTTCGGTCGAAGCCGAAGAAGATTAATGAAGCTGAAAATGTCTGAGTTCACGTGCACCCGGTGCTCATCGATCAGTTAAAACTCATTTCTTTTTTTCTTTTTAGATTAGACATTTAAATTTTGATGATTTAATATAACACCCGAGTATCCGTAATCTGAGGTAAGCTGTTGTTCGCAAACAGTTAAAACTCATTTCTTTTTTTCTTTTTAGACATTTAAATTTTGATGATTTAATATAACACCCGAGTATTCGTAATCTGAGGTAAGCTGTTGTTCAAAAAAACTACGAGTAAAAGACTATGTTTGTTCAGCTTGTTATGCCCATGTCTTCATTTTTATTGATGCTCCACTTATTCACTCATGCTGTCATGCACGAAGTCGGGTTCAGAATATCAAAAATAGTCTAATCCCGTGTCGTCTTTCATCGAAAAAGAAAAGAGCAAACGTGAAGCACTTGTTTTGACTTTCCCTGTTGAGAAATTATATACTGCTTCAACAACATAATTCGCAAAACTAGACTACACAAATACTGTGATTTACCCAACAGTTGCGAATTTGTTCACACGTTAATTATATAACCACAAAATTCATCAAACTAAACAAAACAAGAATCCAAAAGGGAATAAACATAGCAGTAGCAACACATTGTCAACATAAACAAGCTATTATTTTAGGCATAGACTTCCACACACAATCATTTTTTTCGGAGTTAAAAGAAGATCCTAGATGCATGACCCGATTACAGGAAATCAACACATGCAATTGAAAAAATCCCAAAAGGTATTAGACTATAGTAAACGCATTAAAAAAAAGAAAGAAAGAAAGATGTTGAAGAGTGCAACTTTCAGGTTTCAATCTATCAGGGTCTATCTAGTTAGATTCTGACCTCACATAAATCTACATGGTTGTATGCTGAGGGGGTTGGGATTTTAAGCGCCGGTCACTATAATTTACGTGGGACCCACTCTAATCATAGTTGGAAATGACATGGACATACGAAACAAACAAATCCACGGCCTCAACATAGCACGATGCAGTTTAATTTTGTAGAAACAAACGATCATATGAAGCATATGTAAAATTACGAAACATATGTGTGTATATATATATAATAGAAGCTTTACGAAAAGAGAACAAAAAGGATGCAAAACTTACTAGCAAAAATAAAGAAAGGAGTAATCGACATAGGTTACTTCAGTAAGTTGGGTTCCACCGTGAATATCTGCTCTGAAAAAATCGACACTGTTAAATTGATGGACAGCATCCGCCATGGCGGTAAAAAGCAGAAACACTATAAATCCATCATCGACGATACGTGTGGTTGCCATGTCGATTTCCTCCACACTGTATTGGATGGGCTGCACACATACATAACAACACAATAAACATGCATACACCGTAAGAAGAACCACTTAATAATCATTAAGCATAAACAAAAAAATTACAACGGAAAAAAAGACCTGTCTTTTGTTGAACACATCAATTGCCATTTGTGCATAACCTTTGAGCCTCTGCATTTCTTCAGGATTACAGAAATCGGTTGAATCTCGGTCATACGTTAGCTTGGCATCATAACAAAAGTCACGGATAATCCAGTTCCTTATATCCCGTTTCACAATCTCTTCCAATTCCTTATCCTCTTCCAATCTCTTCATCGATTTCAGTTTCTTCTCTTCTTCCAATTTCGTATCCTCTTCCAATTTCTTCATTGATTCAAGTTTCTTCTCCTCTTTCAATTTCATCATCGATTCCAATTTCTTTTGCTCCTCTTCCAATTTCTTCTCTTCTTCCAATTTCTTCATCGATTCCAGTTTCTTCTCTTCTTCCAATTTCTTCTCCTCTTCCAATTTCATCATCGATTCCAATTTTTTTTGCTCCCTTGCAATTTCATCATCGATTCCGATTTCTTCATCAATTCGAGTTTATCATCCTCCTCTGATTCCTCCTCTTTCAATTGATAAACGAGGTCGATTATCATATTGATTCTCGCCGTGCGCTTGTTCGTCGCCGGTTTCTTCTCGCACAATTCCGTCACTTGTCGGGGTATCTTGTTGATTAGCTTCTTCGTTTCTGATTCCCCAACCTGCAATTTCGAATTTTTCATGCCGTCGCCGGATTCAGAACCAGCCATATCCATCGCCTTCTCTCCGATCGAATTGAAACCCTAGTAGTTTTCCCCCTTTTGATTAAACATCATAAAAAGGGTTAACAAACATCATATTTTGTGTTTGGTAAATTCCTCCGTTAGTTTTAATCACACTTGGTAAATTGCCAAAAACCCTGAAATATAATTAGCTCAAAATCAAGGGACCACAAATAAAGTTATTTATATATATATATATATATATATATATATATATATATATATATATATATATATATATATATATATATATACATGTGACAATAAAAACGACGTCATTTAACAGGTTCAAGAGTGAGCGATAGTTTACCTCACTTATCATCCATACATTCCTTATCTCCAAACACCGCATACATATTGATCCTTGATGGTTGATAGTCGCCTGTGACTTTCATGGACACGTGTCCCTAATTATGTTAAATTATTACTAACATTTAACATTATATTTTTTCAAGCTCATTTAGACAGATTTGTATGGGTTTTTTAAAAAAAAATTAAAATATTTTAAGATTCCTTTTTTTATAGAAAAAAAATAAGTTTATTATTATTATTATTAACTTATTTCTATTTATTTATTTATTATATTTCATTCTGTTACATTAATTTACTAATAGAACTCGCTTATCAAGGTTGAAATCGGCAGGCACGTTTTTTGAGGTCCAAACTCCAAAGTCAAAATCCTACCGTGTGAATAATAATGGGCCGTGAATAATAAACCAAGAAGTTTCTCGAATGTAGAATTGGATCAATGGAATATTCCATTTTTTGGAAATAGCATGTACCAATAATATGCTTCCACCAAATTTTGTTTATCCCCCATTTTTCCTTTGTCTGGGGCCCAATAAGATGTCAAATTTTGCATATTCGTCGCAAGTTATTTTAAACTGTTTGAGTTTGATTTGATAAGCAATTGAATCGACCTCGAACAAATCTGTAACGGAGTCAAGCATGCAAATTTTAATACTCAAAATCGAATCAAATCAAAATTAAACTATTGGATACTTGATGCACAATCCTCTATCTAGAAGTTCGTTTGAGTTCGATTTATTACCATATTGACCGAACTTTAAATATAAATTTCCGTTCGAGTCGAACACTCAAAACCTCATATATTACAAAAACACCCAAAACGATGGGAATCAGAGAAAGGTTTACAAAAACATCTAATTTACATAATAGCTCATAAAGTTTCTTCTAGTTACCATTTTGTCTACAGCCTCTCTACCTCTATAGATAAACACATCACAACCGTACATCTCAGAGTTTTACTATCAGATCCAACGGTTCAGATATTCCGACCAAAAATCTCAAAAAGTAGTTTTGTCTCTTTTCAACATAACTACTTTTTGTTTCTCCAGAATCCTCTGCAGTTGGCTTCCCTGCTCTGCACTGTACAGTTTATTCTTCCTTCTGCTGCTCAGACATAACAGAGTATCTCAGGTTTATTCCGTCATTTATGTAGTCTCTCCTCCATTGATCATCCATGGATGCCCTGAAAATTTTACCAGAAAAAGTCAACGTTAGTCTGTGGTCAAACAATTTATTGAGAATCTAAATTATTTTCTGAGAAAATTTAATAATTAAAATTAAAATTACTAATTTTGTAAATGGCAGAGGAAAACTTACTGAGAACTTGTTCTGCCGAGAGCCTTCTAGAAACATCTCTGCACATCATTTTTCGGAGCAGATCTTTTGCCTCCGGCGATACTGACCGGAAAAGTTTGGTCGGAAACCTCAGATTCCCGCGCAGCACCGCCTCGAAAGTCTCCGCCGGACCGTCGCCGTAAAATGGGGGAACTCCGGCGAGCATGATGTACAGAATAACGCCGGCGCTCCAAACGTCGACCTTCTCGTCGTATTCACCCCCCGTCAGCACCTCCGGCGCCACGTAGTACGGCGTCCCGACCAAGCCGCTCATCTCGGAAACTCCGAAAAGCTCGGCCGATCCGAAATCGGCGAGCTTCAGCCTCCCCCTCGAGTCGAACAGGATGTTATCCGGCTTGATGTCCCGGTGCGCCACCCCCAAGCGGTGGCAGCAAGCGACCGCCACCATCAATTGGTTGAGGACGGAGGCGGCGTCGGGCTCGGGGAGGCGGATGCCGGAGGAGAGGCGGTCGTAGAGATCGCCGCCGTCGCAGAGATCGGTGACGAGGTGAAGGTATTCGTCGTCCTCGTAGACGTCGTGGAGGCGGAGGATGGCGGGGCAGCCGGAGAGGAGGTGGAGGATCTTAGGCTCGACGTCGAGGCAGCGGCGGTCGGTGGGGTCGGAGGAGAGGGAATCCTTGTGGATGGATTTGCAGGCGAAGGATGTGTCGGCGGCGGAGGAGTAGCAGCGGTGGACGACGCCGAATCGGCCGCGGCCGAGCTCTTCACACAGTTGGTAGTCTGCCTTTAGGCTGTCGCACATGGTATGTATTGTATTTAGTGGTTTTTTTGTTTTTCTGGTTTTGCTCAAATTTGGCTGTTTTGGGGTTTATTTATAGAGAGAGAAAGAATTAATTGTAGAGAGAGAAAAAAAAGAGCATATGTGAAGGAATATTCCAATTTGCAACCGAAGGTAGTTTAATTTTTGTGAAAATGAGATGACCGGACATTTTCAGTTGTTTAGCTCGTCGTACGATGAAAGGAGTCACAAATTTGGTATTTCTACAACCACCCTTGAGGTAATATTAAATTATGAAACAAGCCCAATGTTTGGGTAATTACAACCATATCCCCTCAACTATGAATCTTCTTACGCTTCCACCCTTATAGATTCAATCCGTTGAGTGTTCTGTCTAGTTTGTACTCGTTTTGTGCCAAAATGCAGTTTCTGATGCATCACAATCTAATATTTACAAATCAATAGACACATCTTATGATCATCTTGTTTCAAAATGTAGAGCTCGAAATGGGATAAAACGAGTACAAATTGGGGAATATTCCACATAATTTAGAAGATTCCGCTAAATTTGACACCGTAAGGTAGACGTGTAAGAGATATTCGTAGTTGAATGGTGGTTATAATTACCTAAATAAGATGGGTTTTTTTGCAATTTAACCTTACCTCATGGGTGGCCATAATTTATCGTTTCCTTTTATACGTTTAATGTTCCATTTATTTTGTTTAGGTAAAAAAAAAAAAATCATTTATGCTCCAATTCTTTTACTTTGGGGCTAATTAGCTAAAAATCCCTTATATATAATTCCAATAGTTAATTAATTATACAAATTGTATAGCATCTTTCCAACTATTTGATTGATTAAACTTTGATACACTCCTGTGAATCACAATGGGCCCAATAATAATGTTCATATTATTTAAAATAAGATTAATCTAAAATGTTAATATTAACTTTACTTTCAAATTTTACTCTACTTAGGTTTAATAACTAACTTTAGCTACACCATTAGACGGATCTTCTGTGTTACAGAATAAACTTAAAAAAATACACAATATATATGTTTCTGCAATATTTAATTTTGTTAAAAAAACTAAAATTAGTAATTTTGTTAAAAAATAAAATAAAATAAAGTTATGTTCTGCGAAACCGTTTGATTTTGACTTAACTATATTATATGATCATGTAATTAAAATATTTTGATCATTGAAAAAAAAACATATATTAATTAAATTAATTGAACTAGTGGATTATAATGAATGATATTACTACTATGGACATTCAATAACATGCATGTATATAATTTATAAATAGGACTTGACTTCTGAATTATTTCCAAGAGCTTACGTCGGTATTCACGATGTCGTTTTTTGTTTTGTTTGTACACAATAAATATATTACACATTATTTAGATTATAATAATACATTATTTTTCATTATTAATTAATTAAAATTGCATGTTACCTGAGGACGGTTGGAGTTGGTTAATGAGGTGGCATGCAGTCGGCAGGGGTCTGATGTGATTTGTTCGACCCTACACCCGGTGAAAAACACCGGGTGGGTCTTCTGCTGAAATAGATTCCCTGCTAGGGTTTACCTTTAGAGGTTTTAGAAAAATAAAAAAAATAAAAAACACGTAGCAGCAGAAGACCCACCCGGTGTTTTGCACCGGATGTAGGGTCGAAGGTATAAAAATGTGTGTAATAGCTTGACTTTTATTCATCACAGTAGAAAGTTTATATACAGGTATTAGCTTGGATGATTTCTCAATCTTAGCTAATTACAAGATTTGCTATTAATGTAAATTACAAGATATACGTGATTGCTAATCAATCAAATATTCTGAGACTAATTTCTAGCTATCACCCTAAATTATGAAATATAATATTAATTATGATTAACTACAAAGATATACAATTAATTCCTCTAATATGCCCCCTCAAGATGGAGCTCCTATGGAGAGTCCAATCTTGTTCTTTAGATTTTGAAATCGACCACGTGGGAGAGGCTTAGTCAAGACATCGGCTAATTGATCTTCAGATGCCACATGGGTAACACGTAAAGCTCCATTTTGTACTTGATCCCGAATAAAATGATAATCAATTGCCACATGCTTCATCCGTGAATGGAAGATAGGATTAGAACAAAGATGAGTTGCACCAATATTGTCACAATAAATAACGGGTGCAGAAGGAATATGAATGCCAAGTTCGGTTAGAAGAGAGCAAACCCAAAGTAACTCCGCAGACGTAGCGGCAACAGCTCGGTACTCAGCTTCCGTGGAGGAACGTGCAACTGTTCGTTGTTTCTTGGAAGACCAAGATATTGGATTCCGTCCGAGGTAGACAATGTAAGCACTAGTGGAGGTGTAGTCGTCCTTGTTTCCGGCCCAATCAGCATCCGAGAAGGCATGAAGAGACAAAGGTGTATGACGATACAGTTGAATACCATGATCAATTGTGCCAGAAAGATAACGAAGTAAACGTTTGACTGCAGACCAATGATCAGTAGTAGGCCGATGCATGAATTGGGACAACTTATTAACAGCATAAGCAATATCAAGACGTGTGAGGCACAAGTATTGAAGACTTCCAACTACTGCTCTGTATTCATAAGGGTCTTGCAAAACAGTTCCAGAAAGAGCAGTAAGTGTTGGCTCAGTAGCAATTGGAGTAGTGACAGATTTGGCCCCAAACATATTTGTTCGAGCTAGGAGGTCTGTGATATACTTCCGCTGGGAGAGAAACAATCCAGTTGAAGTCGTGGTTACTTCTACGCCAAGAAAGTACGTCAAATCTCCAAGATCTTTTATGGAAAATCTTTGGCCAAGGAGATCAATAAAGTGTTGAACTGCAACAATATTGCATCCAGTAATAATAATGTCATCAACATATACAAGAAGATAGATGAGATTACCATTATTGTTGAAGACAAAGAGTGATGTGTCTGAATGAGAGTTTGTAAACCCCGAGGTGACAAGAAATTGTCGTAGCTCATGGTACCATGCACGTGGTGCTTGTTTAAGACCATATATAGCTTTCCTCAACTTGCAAACATGTGTGGGTTGATCACGATCATGAAATCCCGGTGGTTGGGCCATGAAGACATTTTCAGATAGATGACCTTGTAAAAAGGCATTATTCACATCAAGTTGACGAAGAGACCAACCTCGAGAAACAGCAAGACTTAGAACCAACCGAATAGTTGTAGGTTTGACAACCGGACTGAATGTGTCATGATAATCAATACCAGGACGTTGATGGAACCCTTTCGCAACCAACCGTGCTTTGTACCTGTCAATTGAGCCATCAGGTAAACGTTTAATTTTAAAAATCCATTTACAACCGACAAGATTTTGTGATGAGTTAGGTGGGACAAGCTCCCATGTTCCATTCCGCACAAGAGCATCATACTCCTCGGACATAGCCTGACGCCATTTTGGATCTTTGAGAGCTTGGGTCAATGTTTGTGGTTCAAGGTGATGGGTTGAGGTGACGGTGGCAGTTAGATTGAGTTTTTGGGTAGGTTTATGGATGCGGTTTTTAGCACGGGTGGCCATGGTGTGGTTGTTGGTGAGCTTGTTTTGAGGTAAGGTATAAGATGGTGGATTAGATGCTTGACTGTTGGTGGGTTCATTTTGAGGTAAGGTAGTATGCAATGGGTTGGGTGGGTGGTTGTTGGTGGGTTGATTTTGTGGTAAGGTAGTATGGGATGTATTGGGTGGGTGATTGGTGATGTCAAAGAAAGCATCTTGTTGATCATGTGTTGGAACTGAGACGGAGGGCAGAACTGTAGATGGCGTGTTGAGTGACCCAGTCGTAATTGGGAGAATGTTGCCGGTGGTACCCAATCTGAGAGTGTTTCTGGCTGTGGACGAGGGAGATTAACGTGCATGGATTTGAAAGGAAAGACCGACTCTACAAACTTGACATGGCGGGATGTATATATTTTGGAGGTGGACGGATCAAGACAAAGATAGGCACTTTGGGTGATAGAATACCCGACAAACACACATGGAATTGACCGAGCCTCAAGTTTGTTGCTCGTGTAGGGACGAAGCCATGGATAACATAAACAACCAAAGATGCGGAGTTTTGTATAGTTTGGTGAGCAACCAAAAAGAGATTCGTAAGGAGATGAAAGAGAAAGGGTTGGAGTGGGCATTCGATTAATGAGGTATACAGCAGTTGCAAAAGCATAGTTCCAATATGTGAGGGGGAGGGATGCGTGAGTAAGGAGAGAAAGACCTGTTTCAACAATATGCCTGTGGCGACGTTCAGAGATACCATTATGCTCGGGTGTATGCGGCGGAGAAGTGAGATGAGAAATTCCATGAAGTGAAATAAATTGATCTAATGCCTTATACTCCCCACCATTGTCTGAGTAGAGAGTCGTAATGGATTGTTTGAAATGATTTTCGACAAGTGGTTTAAAATGTAGAAAAACATCACATACTTGAGATTTTTTCTTTAGAGGGTAAAACCATATGTAACGTGTAAAATGGTCAACAAAAATGACATAATACTTGAAATCATCAATCGAGTAAGTGGGGGAGGTCCAAACATCCGAAAATATTATTTGTAACGGGCGAGAAGAAGTAATTGTAGATGTAGAAAAGGGAAGTTTGTGACTTTTATTGCTTAAACATGCATTGCAATGAGTGTTTTCAGACATGGAATAAGGTAAGGAGGATGTTGACCGAATATGTCGAACAATAGAGGAGGATGGATGTCCTAATCTAGAATGCCACTCGGTGGTACTGGTTCTGATACTGGAAAATGCAACTAATGGTGCAGATGATCTTAAGGAGGAACTTGGCCACTCATAAACGCCATCTTTAGTGTTTCCCGTCAGAAGAATTGCCCCCGTATTCAGTTCCTTCACATGAAAAATAGTGGGTAAGAATTCAATAGATACATGATTAGTATTGCAAAATTGATAAATGGAGATAAGGTTCTTTTTAATGTTTGGTACACAAAGGATATTTTGTAAATTAAAGGTACGAGTGGAGGTAGGAAGAGTGGTGGAACCGGTATGGGTAATACGAAGACCCGAGCCATCGCCGATCATAACGTCGTCAGAGCCTGCATAAGGAGTGTGAAGCGAAAGATTATTCAGATCTGCGGTTACATGGTG